AAAAAGTGCCGTAAGCCCAGACTCGACTTCGGCTATTAGTACAAAGCGATCGCAATATTGAAATTAACTTCTCGGGCACACCTTTCCTCCACCTAATCCTTCATGATTGTTCAAACAAATGGGTAGCCGAAAGACAGTAATCAAAACCGTCGAACGAAAGTGTTGATGGTCGTGCGGACTGAAACTGAACTGATATATATAACTGATATCACATTGACGCGTTGCTTGTAAAATGGCAACTGAATTTGCTGAACCGATTCAGAGTGTTGTTAATAGGAAACAGATAGGAATGTGAACCAGTGCTAATTGTCAGGAGTTTACGAGGGAAAATAGAATGGGAAAACGGATTATCGACAGTCTTACCGTTCTGCTAGGGTAGCCACCTCTGGTGTCAAATCACTCCGAGCAATCCAGAGCCGTACCTGGATCTGTGGCCAAATGGGTAAACTGGGCCAGTGAGCAGGACTCTCGTATGGTGTAGATAACTGTTCATCTCCACTGGTTTTGGACAAACCGGCTATAACCTGAGCTTGTTTGTACTTACGACGCTGATTTTTGCTTGGCTTTTTCTTTTTCACTGCTTCCGGGGCAGATTTATTTTCTTCAGAGGGTTTAGTCGCGTCTTCAGTGTCTACAATTTTCTTGGACTCGCCTGGATCCACTTCAGTCGCAGCCTCAGTCTCCACGGTACCCGGAACGGTGGCACTTGTGTCTTGTGTGCATACCGCGGCTGCCTTAAACGCAGCTATTTGACTTATCAATGTAGGGATTTTCTCCGTCAAGATCAGAATACACTAAGGGTTCAAAAGGGGAGATAACTGAGTTAGGTACAGGTGTAAAAAAACAACGAAAAAAGATTGGAACTAATTGGTTTAATTTGGGGAAATTGTGGTTTGAAATCAACTGGAAACTAACCTGAATACTTATCTCACGCGCTTCCATCGTATCTGAAACCAATCCAACCAGCAAAGACTGAATGGATGATGCAGCTAACGGGAGGGGTGCTTCGTTATCACCAACCATTGACCATTCTTCTGCGAACAGACGAGAAGCGGCACGGAGTACTTCCAGGGCGGTTTGAGCTAACCGGCGAGCTGAATTCATCATCTCCTCATTGGGGGCCTCTGGTGTTTGAGAGGATTCATCTTCAAGATCGACTTCACTAGGAAGCACATCAACATCCGTGGTGACATCACGGACGTACAAGCATCCTTCAACAACCTGTCGCATAATCTAGTGTGTGCGGGTGCGTGGTGAAGAATAGGCGATGGATTAGTGTTAAAATGAACGCAACTAAAGAACGAACGCTGAAGATATTTTCTTAAAACAGGTGGACGCATAACGGCCGATCACCACCAGTACAATTAGTGATTGTGAGAGAACAAGAGTTGATGCTTTTATAAATCGATGATAGTTAAAGAACCAAAACTCCATATCGCTGTTTCATAGCACTCAGGGATCTCACAAAGAAATGATCTGCACTTAATAATTTATACAGGGAAGTCTTAAAGCAAATCATATCGAGGGCGAGCCAGGTGAAAAATTACGGACGAAATCATAAGGCGCAAGATAGAACCAAAATAGCGAAAGAAAAAGCAACACGACGTGGAGAGTAACATCATCCGGGATTGTTCTGTTTCGGAGGAGGAATAGAATCTCTATAGATATTGCCTTATATGGCATACGGAGGAGTGACTAACGAGATTTTAGGACATTGGAACACAAATGAGATCGATTCATAGGTCACACAATGACTTTTATGAGCTGCAAAAAAAAATCTTACGCGGAATAGATCATCGAACGGAAGCACATGTAAGGAGAACCCGGGAGGTAGTGTTTGTGAATTCAGTTGAGTGAGCCAGCAACACAGAATATCGTACACGTGATTCGGTTGCACCCATTTCCAGCTATTCCGCACCGCAATCGGTATAACCGTGTCCATTGCATCCGAATCCGAACGAGATTGTAATAAGGACGGATAAGGAAGATTAGGTAAATCATCCAAAAGTGGTCGCGCCCATCCGGAGGCCAGCATCAGATACTCAAAAGCTGGATTGATTACCGTAAACAAGACGCTGGCATTCGCATCTCGACTCGGAAACTAGATAAGGCAGAACAAGAGTATTGCGAATACACACCACATAGAATACTGATACACAAACCGTGATTCAGATGCGGGAAACAACCTGAACTGATGATAGGTGACCCCCAAAGAGAGCACTTCGTACTTCTTCAGTTGCATTAAATGGACGATAGGAAAAAAGACTGCATTACTTTATTCCGCTTTTAGTGGCACTTCTTCAGTATTCACTGGAGTGAAAACACTAATCGTGTACACATTTTACACCAGATGTACTAAGTATCTACCAGTTGCAACTAGAACTATATGTATTTTTTCAAAGATCGATCTTTAGAGAAACAGAGAAAATGTGTGATTAGAAGAACCAATAAACCCTGACATAATATGGTGTTCTGATACGAAGTTCTTTGGGTTCCGACAGGTACACATGATCACCAAATGCGTGTATCATTGTATTTAATAAACAACGCTCCTCGATGATATACAAAAGCATCAAGATTTTTCTGTTAAACATTTCCGTGTGATAAGTAGTAGTGAAAGTGAACCCCGAAGTGACGAAGGTTAAAGTTGTAGGTCAAAGGTGGAGTCATTGGCATTGTTTGAAGTTGAGAAGGTAAAGAGTGCTATTGATATNTTGATATATTATATATATGTATATATTATATAACATCTAATCATAGTATTCGTTCACAAAAGGACTGGCTCTGAAAAGACTGTCCATACCGATTTACCCGGTGCTGCAAATGAGGCTACCGTGACGACAATAAACTTCCCGGGTACAAGTATATGAATGAACCGACAAAAGATAACCGGATACGCGTGCCTAAAAAGCTACAAGAACCGCGAAACCAGCCATCTGTTTCCAGGGAGGGGCAGAAATACATGAAACAAATTATTTCGGCCATAGAACACTAACCTGAGTGATTAAGAACTCCAGAATCTGAGCTGTTTGCGAAGCAATGGGTTGATGAGACCAATGAGTAGTGAGCAAAGTAGAATAGGATAAAGCTTCTTCTAGAACTGTGGCGATCGCGACAGACACGCCGAATCCAATCTGTTCCCCGTCCATAGCTTGGAGTAATGGTAAATCGGACGGCTGTAACAGTCTTGCTGGGCCTAAAATGCGCACAGACCACCATCCCAGATGTGAAGCATATTTTGAGTGTAATTCGCATGGAGTCAATGGCTTTTTGCCTTCCCAGAAGCAAGAGAGCAAGGCTGCTGAAACACAGGAGACCTGAACTGCGACGGCATATGGTGCCACCAGCGGATTGGCCAACAAACGAATTAGTAATCTGGAAAGTCGTGGACAAATTTTCAACAACAGCTCGCCTGCAGCAATGAACTGTGATGTTTGGCGGGTACCAAGTGATAGACTAGTTCGAAGAAACGTGTTTGTCATGTCCATAAAATGCCGAGCTTTTGAATCCAGCTAAAAAAATTGATAGCAAGAAAAAAACAAATCAAAAGTGGGTGTGGGTTAGAGTGTTCAGAAGGATTTAAATTAGTAACACAACTTTAGGTAACAAAACTTAAAGAACAAAACTGTCCAATTACATGGTTAGCGAAATAGTAAGCTGCTACCCCTAAACAACAATGATGAATTTGAACTCATAATACAGGTTGGTTCGAATTTCGGAGTTGAACGAACTACTCAAAAATGGATGTATTCTCATCATCAAATAGAGAAAGGAGCTTGTAAGCCGATGGATTCACAAACAACTATATACGTACGAAGAAACATACAACAGCAAAGGTGATGGTTTTGTGGAATTGCCTGACAAGGAGCTTAATGTACCTGAAGGTACATCATGTGATGATTATGTCAAGACTGACCCGGTTCACACCACTACGCACTAAAAACATTCAGGACTGAGGGATATGAACAGCACGGAACGAATGGATCGACACAATGAATACAGCTCAGACGTCATGCCCGTGGTGAATTAACAGTAAACTTGTTTAAATCCTAGTGACTTAGACTCATTGGACAGCCAGCTAAATGATTGATATGGTACATTGATTGCTATCAATAGAAGAAAAAGCGGAACCATGATTAAGTTCTCATTGAAAGAGGCACGCCAAGGAGATCAGATTGGCTGCAGTGCTATCCAACCCTTATACAGTTATCATGGAGTGGACATGTCATCTACCTGCGCGACGGCTTGGGTACTGTTTGGTGGGTACAGATAGCGATTATGTTCATTATCGTTGGTGGTTCGAAGCTTACCGTCACCATTAGACTACTCATGAGTAGCGTTATACATGTACCAGTTGTTATAATTAGACCGTCATATATATAGGTTTGCAAGTTCCTATTTAGCACGCGCGTTCAATCAGTAGTAAAATAAGAACATCAATATCTGATCGAACAGTTTACAAACTTAAAGAAATTCACTGCTACCTGCACGCACACGTAGCATTGAAACCAAACGATTAAAAAGAAAAAGAACGCAAATTAAAAAACGACCATAAAAATGAGCTCATTTTGATTTCGTATTACGTGCTGTCCTTTTGGACACACGTGCTGCGTTTGACTCAGCTGACAGAGCAACTATTTGAACTTTTCTGTTAGGAAGCAGTGTGTCTGAGAAGTAAGTGAACCTTCTCTTCAAAAACATCAGGCCGCGCCAAGGTCTATGAACACATCTCTGCAGTTGCCACTACAAGCGGAGTCTGACAAGAGTGACCGGCTTCACCCTTCCTCGCAAGAGACAAAATGCTAAACGGCGTTCTAGAAAACTTCAGAGCTTCCGGTGCGGAGCTTCTCCAAGGTGATCGACTCCGTGACTTGGAATATGCCGATGACATCGTTTCACGCTGCGACTCTTCCCAAGACGCTCAAAATGCCCTGTGTAAGTTACCATTATTCATCACGCAGTTTGGCATGACCTTTCTCCATCGAAATGTAAGGTCTTACTACAAGACTAGCAAGAGGTCGCACCTGTCCTCATGCTCTGGAGCGACCAGTTGGAGTTGTTTCGGCTCAAGAGGACTGACAGAATAAATATCAGTGTGTATCCGCAAGGCTTGGGTGGCTTTCACTAATCTCTGGCACGTGTGGCGCGGACGGGGTCACAGTCTCTCCTGAAAGACCACGTTTACAATGCCACAGTACGCACTACCTTACTCTACAACTGCGAGAGTTGGTCCCTACACACAGAAGACAAACGGAGATGAAGTATCTGTGACCACTGTTGCCTTCGTTGCATCGCCAGAATACGTTGGCAAAAGCTAATCATCAACGACGAGGTTTGTCTAGGAATCTTCGCCTCAGACAATCTCAGCCACCCTCCGAGTGCCGTCATCTTGCGCCAGAGACTTCAGTTGCTGGGACATGTGTTGCGGATGCCCCATCGTGTTATGTATGCGCAAGCCGACACTAATTGGAAGCGGCGACAAGGTGAACAACGAACAACCTGTGCTCAAACGATGAATGTGTTAATCTCAAAACTAGCAGTGGTAGGACGCTATAGACTCCCAGGTTGGGGTCAAAAGGACAGCGAACATCTATGGTTCGAGACACTGGCAGACCTGGCTGGTAAGCGGCGTCAATGGTGCATCTGTTAAGAGACTCTTATTCAAATGGGAATTCGTTGTGTATATAGCAAATAAAGCGTGAACTGAAAAGATAGGAAGCACTGGACAGCTGTTTCGACCTGGTTGGGTCTCAGCAGTAGTGCGAATCCATTGACCCAACTGCGGATCGAACTCGGGACCTTATGAGCAGAAAACAAGCATGCTACCCACTCGGTTACCGGGCAACCGATCAGACTGTTTTCCATTTACA